CCTCTGTGGCATAACAACCAATTTGCGCCTGGGAGAATGGATGGAGGATTCAAATTGTGGAAAACGAGGGGAATCCAGGCAATTAAAGATCTGTATGTAAATGGCAAGCTGCTTACATTTATGGAGCTGTGCAACAAATTTCAAATTCCCAAAAAACATTTCTTTAAATACTTGCAAATAAGAAACTTCATTTCATCAAATTATGAAAAAATTATGCAAATCCCTTGCTTATCAACAATTGAAGAAATTATTGTAAAACACCAGAAAGGGAGAGGTTTACTGTCCAAATTTTATAATCTGCTCATGGTTCATTCTAAAGAATCATCATTGGACAAATTGAACGCCTGGAGGAGTGACCTGCACGAAAACATAAGTGAAGAAGATTGGAGTGAAGCATGTTTAAGAGCACAAAAACAAACAATAAATACGAGACTCAGACTACTTCAATATAAATGGTTAACAAGGGTTTATATAACTCCTGAAATCCTCCATCATATCTCCAGCAATATTCCTGACACTTGTACCAAATGCAGTAATTATAAAGGAACTCTTATACACTGTCTTTGGGAATGCTCGGCAATTCAAATATTCTGGAAAGAAGTTTTAAAATGTTTGACAGAAATATTCAATGTAAAGATTCCTATGTGTGCAAAACTTTGTGTATTGGGAATATATCCGGAAGGTTTATTACAGACGAAAAAGCAAACAAAATTATTGGACTTTGGACTACTACATGCAAGAAGAACCATCGCCTTAAACTGGAAAAACATTGAAGCCCCTTCAACAAAACAATGGGTTAAGGAAATTTCAGAATGTGTCGGCCTTGAAAGATTGACATTTATAGCAAAGGGAAAACGAAAAGACTTTGTGAAATTATGGGAACCTTATTTAAATATTATATCCAAAAAGTGGAGGTGATGTATGTGTAGGTATATGTGTATGTATATATATAGAATAATATTGTTATTGTTGTCGTCCAGCTATGACAGTGATGATGATAGCAGTAACAAAAAACAGATTTTTATTTATTGTCATAGATGTTGTTGTTATTGTTGTAGTTATTACAATTTTATTTTAGTATTATTATTTACCTATCTCATTTTATTGTTTATTAATTATTATTATTTATTTATTTTTATTTTAGTATTATTACTTTTTTATATATATTATCTATATCCATTTAATAATTCATGTTTCTTTACTAACTTTTAATTAATATATTTCTATTTATTTTTATTTATTTATTTATATTTATTATTGTTGTGTGTGTGTATATATATATACATATATTTATTTATATTTTCTTTTATTCGTTTTAAGTACATATGGTCACCGAATATAAATCAAGGACTCACCTGCGATTGATGGATTGTATTGTGCAAGTATTGCATAGCGAATGTGTGAATGTGTATGAGTGTGTGAGAGCGTGGAATTGGTTACTTGTTATTATTATTATCATTATCTTTATTGTATTTTATTTACTCATATTATTATTATTATTATTATTATTATTATTATTATTTTTGGTTATATGTTGACCTGTGTTAACGTGGTCAGTTGTTCAGGTGGAATTTTTATTGTCTGAAAATTAATAAAAAATACTTTGAAAAAAAAAAAAAAGTTTTGAGTGTGTAACTAAGGAAAACTGTTCTGCACTCGACCCTAATGCGAATCAGTATAGTCACATTTTCTTTCTGTTTTGGTCATTTTTAAGCAGTTTTTCTGTATTTTAACTAAACAAATGACAGTTTATGTCTCTCTTTACTGCTGGCAGGGAACAGATTGATCAAAAACATGGACACCTGGGACATTTCTTGTATAAAACTGGGACAAATCAGTGGTTTTGTGTAAATCTGCTGGGACAGGGGACACATGGCTCAAAACTGGAACTGTCCCGGGTAAATAGGGACGTCTGCTCACCCACATCCAAAACAGATCGAGCTGCTGCACTACACTTCTCTGTCTACCACTTTCTGCACATGTGTCAGAAATCCTGGAAAAAACAACAACAACAACAACGGCAACTGCTCATATTAGAACACACGACTTCTAGTATTGTTAGTATTAACATCAAACACTGAGTCTTCCTTTCAGTGTTTCTGGACTGTTTTATCATCCCCATAATATGATGACAGTAGCTGGGGTCTACATTAGTGTGACCAGACGTCCCTGTTTACCCGGGACAGTCCTAGTTTTGAGTCCTGTGTCCCCTGTCCCAGCAGATTTATACAAAACCATTGATTTGTCCCAGTTTTATACAAGAAATGTGACACGTTAGAGCAGAAGTAGGACCCAAAATGCAAAACTGCATTTCCAAAGAATGAACCAACCAAAAAAAATTTGGACTCAGCATTGACACCTGGATCTTACTCCCAGACCATCTCCTGCACATGGATTCTCACTACAGTGACCTTCTCCCTCAGACCTGGTCCCTGCTGGTCCCTGATGAACCCTGATGAACCCTGATCAACACTTGCTGTCTTTTGTTGACCTTCCTTGTGCCCTGAGCCACCGCCAGACAAGAATCTCCGTCTGGGGTGGTTTTCTTCTGTTCTTGCCTCCGTGTCACCGCTGGACATAGTTCTCCGTCCAGGTACCTGTTCCTCAATACCTTCCTGTGATGTCAGCACAGTAGCTGCTTCCTGCTCATCGCCTGGACTCCATTAAGCAGGTTTTTGCGTCTTACCTGAGGCCCTCTCTACACACTGTCTTGTCTTTGTTGGGGTCCTCCATGTCCCCTAGTTCTCTGGACTCATCACTGCAGACTTCTGAGCTGTCACCTCTACATCTGGAGTCTCTGGATGTTTCCAACCAGCCCCTGTCACCATTATATTATTTTTCTTTCTACTGGCGCTGCCTTCATGGCCTCTGGATCTTCCTGGTTGCTTTCTAGTTGGTCCCTCCTCCAGGGCCCCTCCACCCTCCCTGGTCCATCTGGGATCTGTTCCTTAATGTCATGGTGTTCATTTTCACTGAATTATTTTACTATTCTTGACCCAGTTTTATTTTGTATATCTCTAGTCATGTGTTTTGACTTCCTGTTGTATTGTTTGCCTAATGCGTCCCACCTGTGTCTCATGTGTGTCCATATATACTCTGTGTGCTCCTTTGCCCTTTGTTGGTTCACTGTCATTCTGACTGTCGTGTCTGTTTGGATTTTTGTGTTTGGTCATTTTTTGTTTTATTAAACAACTTTGGAAATACAGTTTTGCATTTTGGGTCCTACTTCTGCTCTAGATGTTACAAAATGTCCCAAGTGTCCCTATTTTGGACCAATCTGACTATAGTGACTCATCACGAATGGTCTCTGGTTAACAATTCTGCTTAATTACTCACTCGTTTCACAATTTTCTTATTCCCAACCACCAAAAGACTGGGGATTATATCATATCAATGAGCAATAGTACTTTTTAATAGCATTGAATTAGTATACGGTAAGTCTAGTTTATACAGAAGATCTACAAGATTTTCCTCTTCTCAGCTTGTTTTTTTCTGACGCTTTGTGCACGTTTTCATAATAATTCACCAGAAGTCGGCTGAGGGAAAGAGGTATGGCAATCGTTTCGACATTGAACACCGCAGATGCTCCAATACTCTTCTTCTTCTACTTCTTCTTTTTTCTTTTGTGTAATGTTTACAGCTTCAGTCCTCTCCAGGTCCTTGGATCCATCAGTAAACAAAATAAGGCTGTGCTCATGTGTCATTCAGAAAACATCAACGTGCACAATAAACCAGTCTGGAAAGGATCTGTTCTTTTCCTTCACAGATCAAAAGACATTCTCTAACTTTGACTTAATTTGGTGAGATTATAACTATGGATAAATGAATATTAATGATAGTTTTACGCCAATCAAGAAGCATTTTTGTTGTAAAAAGATGGTAGTGTGAAAGATTCAACACTATTTACAAGTAAGAACTTTTTTTTCTGATGCTTTAAACAGGATTTCAGCAAAATAACGGTGTGTTTTTATATTTGTATTTGTCTGATAATCATTTCTGGGTACATTAGAGCAGTTTTGGTAGGTAACAGTCATGGAATTTGCTCGCGTAATCGTGGTCTTAAAATACATACAGACGTGAGTGTAGAATTATTATTAGTCGCTCATTTGCATTAGAGTGTGTCATCACATTTAACTCTTTCACTGACAGCATTTTTTGGTAAAAGCAACTTCCAGTCTGCCAGAGGTTTTGTTTATTTTCAACAACTTTACAATCTGTGTAAAATGTGTGTTCAAAAGCAAAGGACATCCACTGCTCCCGCTCACAAAAATGAACAAGTAAAGAGTCAAAAATGCAATCATTTTCAAATATGACTTTATTGGATGAAGTTTATACATTATGACATGGTTTTTCTCTTGTCGAGCGAATAATTTAAAACAGTGTTGGGAAGGTGACTTTTAAAATGTATTCCCCTACAGATTACAGATTACACACCTCAAAATGTAGTTTGTAACAGAATCTCAATACTTTGGATTACTTGATTTGCTGTAGAGAAGCAAAGACAAGGAAATATTCACATAAGAAGTTTTATCTGCTAAAAGAAAATAAAAAGCCCAAACTTTACTGAACCAAATTAAAAATATTATTGATAGAAGACGAGGAGACACGTCCACGCGGCAGAATTTAGTCCTGTTAAATCCTGTTTGAAACATAGTTTAGACCTGGTTTAGACTTGGTTTAAACCTGGTTTAGACCTGGTTTAGTGTCCGGTAATGAGTGGAATTACCAAAAAAAGTTAAATAAAATGTGAAAACAAATACAGTTACTCATATTTTGTACTCTGATTACATAACTCTGGTACATGTAATCTGTTACTCCCCAACACTGAATGTAACACAGTTTGACATTATTTGGACTGTGTTGTTACATTATTGCTCTACTCAACCCCTCTACTTCTTCCATTTAAAATTGGCCAAATTCATGATGTCATTGTCTGTTATTACATTATGATCAGTTGCTACAAGGTCTGCAGCGCGGTGTGTTTAGGGGAAGTTAGAAAAAAGTGTGAAAGACGACAGGAACAAGCGTCACAAACATGATGTCTCTGTGTGTGTTCAGACCTGTGCTTCTCACTCTGACTCTTCTGCTCTGCTCAGGTAAGAGACCATCACCTGTTTAAATGCTGCTGCACTCATCGTCTCAAATGTGAAATGATTCAACTGAAATTTTAAATGTCAAACCAAAAGTGTTTCTCCGTTTGGAGATTTCCAACTAAACAATTACATATAATTCAGAATAATTCTTTTGTTTAATTATCACATAACACATTGTTAATTTAAATATTTACTTAAAATTGACTTGTTAATTCATTTCAGTTACATTCATGTTCATAATACTTACCTGCAGCTCCATGGTGCACCTCTCTTTTGTCTGGACAAAAGCAGCTCCCACAGATGAATGCTGTTGTGTCCTTGGGCAAGACACTTAACCCACCTCACCTCTAGTGTCTGTGTACACTGGTGTATGTGTGTGTGTGAATGTGTGTGAATGTGTGTGTGTGTAAATGTGTGTGTGAATGTGTGTGTGAATGTGTGTGTGAATGTGTGTGTGAATGTGTGTGTGAAATGTGTGTGTGAATGTGTGTGTGAATGTGTGTGTGAATGTGTGTGTGAATGTGTGTGTGAATGTGTGTGAATGTGTGTGTGAATGTGTGTGTGAATGTGTGTGTGAATGTGTGTGTGTGTGTGTGAATGTGAATGTGTGTGTGAATGTGTGTGTAAATGTGTGTATGTGTGAATGTGTGTGTGAATGTGTGTGTGAATGTGTGTGTGAATGTGTGTGTGGTTCCTTGTTGTAAAGCACTTTGAGTCTTGAAGGTGGAAAAGTGCTGTATAAAAATGTGACCATTTGTGATTATGTTATTTTGCATTAACTCCTGAAGTTTACTTTAATACATTTTTGTTGGTCAAAGACACTTTTTTTGTTGGTCTGTCTCCTACTTCGATCACATCAGGCCACATCAGACTAATGCAAATGTACTAAGAAATAACAGAGCAGAGAACATTCAGTCTGTACCTCCTACTGATCTACCAGCAGTAACATGGTGATGTGTTTTGCCCAAGGACACAAAGGCAGCAGTACACAATGTCACTAGGAGGAATTGAACCAGCAGGTGTCTCTACCATCTGCTCCCTCTTGAGCTGTTGAATTTCTGGAATATGAATACTGTATATGATTTGAGACATTGAGACAGCTCCAATGTCTCTTGCTCAAGGTTGCTGGTTCAATACCTGTAATATAACTATTTTTTCTTTGGGATTTCTCTTCTACAGGATCAGTCTCAACTCTATCAGAGTTTGTGGAAGAGGGAGGAAGTGTCACTTTGCCCTGTAAAAATTTGAGAGAAGGACAAAAAGAATGTGATGGAACCACATGGGTTTTTAACTCAGTTGAAAAACCACAAGAAACTATAGAACTTATTATGAAGGGAAAGAATGGCTCCCGTGTCCCACAAACTCTGTCCAATCGACTCAGAGTGACACAGAAGTGTGATCTGCAGATTCACAATGTTCACCCTCAGGAAGCTGGACTCTTCTCCTGTCAACAATACGACCAATCAAGACGTTTCCTGTAACCTGAGGCTACTGTGTCTCTGTCTGTTGTCTCATGTGAGTATTTTGTTATTAGATCAGGAGTCTAACCCACAACCTCCTCACTGTATTGTATGTACTGTCTTTATTTAGACAATAGAATGTGATTTTCAGCATTAAATAGTAGCACTTTCTTTCATATTCCATGTGTCTTATATGTGTGTAATCGTCAGTGGTGCAGGGAGGTTGGTTTTATACTTGATCATTCTAAAACTATTCAGGAAACATTCATTTCTGTCCTGAATGTGACTTTTTTAGGATCAGTGTCTGTTCAAATGAGAATCTAGTTTCAATACTAGTTTTAATATTGATCAGTATCAGATTTTTGATACATTTGACATTTCTACTCCTCACTGAGACGAGGAGACAGGATAACCACTCTGCCACACTCACACATATTGACTCAAGTGTCTTTGTTTTTCACAGTGACTAAAGAAGAATATGAGGAGGCAGTTCAGTTAAGATGTACTGTGTCCTCTTCTCTTCCTGATGTCAAACCAAAATGGCTGCTCAACGGCCAAAACGTCAAAGATCTACGATTAACCACAATAGACCTTCGAGGCAGGAATCATTGTTACAGTTCCAAAAAATCACAGTTTTAAATTGTGAGTACAAGAAAACAGTTGACAAATAAAAAGAGACATGCAGGACACTGCATATTGTATTATTTATGTAAAACAGCTGAAACTGAAAAACTCTAAAACTGTCTGAAGTGAACAAGAAGAAGTTTTCTTAAATATTGTCAGTATCAAACTTCAGTGTTAAGTTTTCTGGTGAAGGTCAAATGATGGAGATGTTCTTGCTTGATTTTTATGGCATTAAACTTTTCTGTCTTCATGGAGACCAGATCAGAGCAAGTTACAGGTCAGATCTGTGAAGAGGCGAACCCGCTCACGGTCAGAATGTCTGTATTTCTAGATATTTTTGAGCTGTAAAACCACCTGTAAATGACTAAACGTAAGGTAGGAACCCTCCATCAGAAAAGTTACACAATGCACCTTTAAGTGGCAATTTGTGGGGGGGTTGAAAAGAAAAGTACTTTTAAAGGAAGTAGCAGTGAGTTCTAAAATATCTCTTCTGATGTCATCAGTCTGTTGAAAATGCAGGAAACAGAAGTAATCAGACAGTTCATTTAAAGAGCATGTTCATGTTTGTGTACGGCTGCATGGAGGATCACACACTGGCAGCAAAAAGGTTCCAGGTTTGAATCCCAGGGTCTTTCTGTGTGGATGATGACGATGACGACGATGATGACGACGACGACCATGACCATGACCATGACGACATTTAAGGCATGTTTTTGATGAACAATGTTATAACAAAAAGCTCCAAAAAGTTGATTTTGTACAATAACCCCCCAGTAGTAATAGTACTGTTACTTTTGATTCTAGTAAATGTGTTTTAAACTTGTGTGTGTGTGGATGTGTTGTGCATAAGTACAGTACTTTTACTTTTGTACTTACTTACAGTGACTGTGTTGAACTTGTTTGTGTGTGTGTGTATAAGTACAGTACTTTTAATGTTGTACGTAGTTACTGTGTTATGTTGTGTGTGTGTGTTTAAGTGTTAAAAACACTCTGGAACAGATGCCCGACCACCTCAGCTGCTCCTCTCGACGTGGAGGAGCAGCGCTCTACTCCAAGCTCCTCCCATGTGACTGAGCTCCTTACCCTATCTCTAAGGGAGCGCCCAGCCACCCTGCGGAAGAAACTCATTTCAAGTGCTTGTATCCGCGATCTCGTCCTTTCGGTCACTACCCAGAGCTCATGACCATAGGTGAGAGTAGGAATGAAGACTGACCGGTAAATCGAGAGCTTCACCACAACGGTCCAGTACAGCACCACATCACTGCAGACGCTGCACCGATCCGCCTGTCAATCTCACGCTCCATCCTCCCCTCACTCATGAACAAGACCCCGAGATACTTGAACTCCTCCACTTGAGGCAAAGACTCTCCACCCACCCAGAGGGGCAAGACGCCTTTTTCCGGTCGAGAACCACGACCTCGGACTTAGAAGAGCTGATCTTCATCCCAGCCGCTTCACACTCTGTTGCAGACAGCCCCAGTGCACATTGTAGGTCCTGGTTTGATGGAGCCAACAAGACAACATCTGCGAAAAACAGAGATGAAATCCTGTGGTCCCCAAACCGGACCCCCTCCGGCCCCTGACTACGCCTAGAAATTCTGTCCATAAATACAATGAACAGAACCGATGACAAAGGGCAGCCCTGTTGGAGTCTGGTCTGACTTACTGCCGGCAATGAACACAGCTCCTGCTCCTGTCATACAGGGACCGGACAGTCCTTAGCAAAGGGCCCCGGACCCCATACTCCCAGAGCACCCCCCACAGGACACCACGAGGGACACGGTCGAATGCCTTCTCCAAGTCCACAAAGCACATGTGGACTGTTTGGGCACTGTTGTACTTACTTACAGTTCCTGTGTTATCTTGTGTGTGTGTATAAGTACAGTACTTTTACTGTTGTACATAGTTACTGTGTTGTGTTGTGTATGTGCAGGTTGGCTGTGGGCAGTGAGAGTAGCTGTAGCTGCAGTACTTCTGCTTGTACTTGTCAGTGTGGTGGTCGTGGTCACATGGAGGAGACGCAGAGGTAAAACTACATCACACACAAAAGTGTATTTATGTGGGACACAACAGAGGACTGAGGTCAGAGGAGTTTGTAAAGGAGCACTGTGTAGTTTTTCTGGTGGAGAGTCTGACACGTGTCTCCATAGAGATGAGTTTACCTGGAACAGTTACATGGTGCACCTGTAAACTGTAGGTGAACATTACAAGTCCACTAACTCCAACTAACTAACTCCAGATCTCCAGTGTTTGGCCTTTAAAAGTTTGTTGTTATTTCAGTGTTGTTTTTACATGAACAATAATAACAGACCAGTCAGGCGTCTTCTTTCCCAGAGGTCACTGGATAATCAGTCTTTGGGTCACTTCCATTAGCAACAGGTTTGATTGACAGCATTGCTAAGGGGCGAGGGGTGTGTATTTTCAACAACCTTATTCCTGATTGGCTCTTTAGTGCTATTATGATACATGTACTCGCATTTCCAAATATGGATCTTTGGTGCAGATCAGACACTATCACTGTCAGCCACGATCAGCTTCATTTGGCAGAAGCTGAACACTGTGAGTGATGTCACGCTCTCTCAGTGCTTTTCTCTACACCATCCGTGGGTGAACCTTGAAACAGTATCTACATCACTTTTACTTCCTCTGAATCAGAACCATAGGGGAGTATCTGCTAGGGGCTGACAGTTTTATTCATTTGGGAATTTTTTCAAATGTGAACGATGTAGAAACGTTTGTGACTATCTGAAACAGATGTTTGTGTCGTGGTGCAACATCATAATGAGAGAAGCTAACAGTGACATAACCCTTTATAACCTGTGTATAGTCAGTGATCTTCTCTTTTTTCAATGACAATGAAGAACTTTCTTACCTTATTTATGAATAATATGCCTACACTTGTGTGTGTTTACAGTGAGGCCTGCAGGCAGCACAAGAGACCTCACTGTAAGTTTGATTTGTTTGTTTTTCACTGTGGTGGGTGGGGATTACACAACTGTTGTGTCCTTAGGCAGAAAACTTAACTCATCTGTCAGGTGGAAAGGTTGTGCTGTCTGTGTGTCAGTCTTTATTTTGTGAACCTAGTGTACCTGAAGACCAACTTCATTTCTTTTACTAAAAACTACTAAGAATTTTCCTGGGATTCGAGGGACCATGTGGAGGATGTGGGGCTGATATCCCTCTGAGCATCTCTCTCTTCACAGGCTCCTTTATATGTTGTTGTAGAGTTCTAATCATTTTGATGAAGGACAAATACATCAATAAATCCATGTGAATGTTTTCTTCAAAGGCTGAACCTGAAGAAGGAGTGTCTTATGCCACCGTCAGCTACAATGCAAACAACCAGAGAACTGAGGTAAGGACTAAATCAGGACTAAACCTGGACTAAACTAGAACTAAACCCAGAACAAACCAGGACTATAGTGTGAAACAATGGTCGGCATTAATCAGTCCTTCTTGCAAAAAATCTGGACGTACTAAAAATAATATAATCCTCTTTTTGTGCCATAACCTGAAAACCTCCAGAGGTCCCACTTTCAAATGAAGGACTTTAATATTTCCAATCAGTGCCTCTGGTATTCTTTTCAAGATCAGGACTAAACCAGGACCACACCAGGACTAGACTAGCACTAAAAGAACAAAAGCCAGGCCACTTCAGGAACAAGTGGGTTTAAAGCAGGACAGACAGTACCAGTCAAACACTCCTTTTTCAATGTTTGTTTTTAGTCTACCATTTTCTACAATTTATATACAGAAGTCGTCAAATATATGAAGCAGGATATATGTGTATACATATGTATAATATGTCATTATCTAGCAAGGACAAAAAATGAAATAACTCAAAACAATATTTTTTAAATATATTTTTATTCAAATCCTCAAAATATCCACCCTTTGCTTTGTTGGTGCAAACTTTAGGCCTTTTCTCAATGAGCTTCATGATGAATTCACCTAAAATGTTTTTTTCTTCACAGCTGTGCCTTTTCAGGGTCAGAAAATGTTGTCTAACAGACACTGACTCACTAATGTGACTAACTGTATTTAAGCAGGCCAGTATCCTACACTCAAAGCATTTGTCCAATAATCTGGTAGTGCGCGTTAGCATGCAAGTTGTTTTTAGATTTACCATCACAGCAAAACTCCACTCTGGTCTCTGAGAGTTGTCAAAACCACATAAACTCATGATGTTGAAGAATAAGGATGTTCAGAATACATATGTGAGGAATAAATTAAAAGGCAGTATAAATCAGGTGTAAGTTAGTGCTTTTACTACAGATGGAGGAGGCTGAAGTTGCTGTTGGGAATATGCACATTAATGTTGTAATACAGCAGGTTCAGTTGTGTATGATCAGGTTCAGCATTTGTGGTTTTCCTTTTGGATATATGGATTTCTTCATATACAAATAGATTCTTGACTAATGTATGATATTGTCCTGTCCCTCTGCTCAGATAAGACAGAGTGAAGCAGTGATCTACAGCTCTGTGAAAAACACCACTGTGCAGGACTCTGCTCAGCTCTACGCCACCGTCAACTAATAAACAACAACAACAACAACCAACAACCAACAACCCCCAACAACCAACCCAACAACCAACCAACAACTCACCCAAGAACTACCCAACAACCAACAGAACTTCCCACCTACACAAAACCAACACACCAGCAACCAAAAAACAGACCCACTGTTACAACCCAGCTCACTGGGGTGAGGGAAGTAACAAAAATAAAAACCAAGATGTAAAATAGAATAAATTAAATAATGTTTAATTAACAGGAAGGTAAAAGGTAAATTAACAAAAGACTAAAATATACAGAAAACAACCTAAACTAAGAAAGAGAACAACAGAATAAATGGAGTTTTGTGCCACAAGGGGTCACGCAGGCTTACAAAAAATGGGTGNAACAACCAACAACCAACCAACCAACAACAACCAACAACCAACCCCAACAACTCACCAACAACCAACCAACAATCAACCCAACAACCAACCAACAACTCCCCAAAAACCCACCAACAATCAAACAACAACCCAACAATCACCAACAACCCACCAACAACCCAACAACAACAACCCCAACAACTCACCAACAACAACCTAACAACCAACCAACAATCCCCAACAGCCAACCAACAACTCACCAACAACCAACCAACAACCAACCCAACAACTCACCAACAACCAACCCAATAACTCACCCAACAACCAATCAAACAACCATCCCAACAACTCACCAACAATCAATCCAACAACTCACCCAACAAACAATCCAACAACCAACCAACAACCAACCCAACAATCTCCCAACAACCAAACCAGCTACCCACCTACCCAAGACAAATACACCAGCAACCAAAAAACAGACCCACCCAGTGTCAACAAAAAAACAACCAACCCATCGCCAACAGATAAACTAACTCATCGTCAGCAACTGAACACTGTCTACAAATAAACTTTGTCTGGTTGTATCCACCATCTTGTCCTGTACATACTCTAACCTGTGCTATAGTGTAACAAAAGTAAATGTAGTTGAAGCCTTGTAGACCTAGTAGAAGTAGTAACAGTTTCAGTAGTAGCAGTAGTAGTAGCTGATGTACTGAGCCTAGTAATAGCAAGAAATGTATTAGTCACCTGTTGTAATTCCAACTAAGTCAGAGCTTTCTGGTCAGATTACGTCAAATTAAAGTTAAATCTAATGTGAGTAACAGCTTCAGACAGAGGAATGCTTACTGTTAGCAGTACACAGATGTCAGTCATGTTTATGAAATCAACTGCAACATGTAAATATAATGTCAAAGTGCTGTACAGTAAAAAGTATGATTACAAACACTGGGCCTCATTCTTGAATCTTTTCTTAAAAAATGCTCATAACTTGTATTTTAAGAAGATGCTGAGAGAACTCTGAGCCAGATTCACAAAGTGTTTTTACACATCCAAATTCCTTCTTAAGTTGCGCAGAATTCACCAACACGAGCTACAAACACCTGCACGCTCATTTACAATTAATTTACATAGAAAATGAATATGTATGTGGTTAGAAATGCACTCTGAACTTCCAGATATGGCCAATATGGGTTTGGCAATGTGACACGTAAAAGCGAGAGGGAGAGAGTGATGAGGAGGTCAGGTGGAGCAGGGGTGGGGGTGTTGAGTCTGGTGTGGTGACCAGGCTCAGGGCACTGGGGCTGGGACAGACTGAGACTCACTGCAGCCTGGAGAAAGTCTGTTAGACCCAATAGACACATGCTCTGTAAAACTCCTCATAAATGTTTTTGGATCACACAGTCATATGTTTATAGGAAATAATTTAAGAAAATATACAACTTACAATCATGGAGGAATTTGAATTTTTTGCTGCATTATCAGAGTAATAATATTCTAAAACTGTAGAATTTTTGTTCTTACAGGCGCTCCTGACTGTTCATAGGATTTGTTCTTCCAGAAGAACATTTTCAGTTGAAGTCGTGAATGTCAAAAATGTTTGTGAGAAGGCCTTGAGTACAAATTTGTTAGTTCTTTATTCTGGCTTTATATACATCTTTTTAATTGTATTTTCAAATTGTCAAAGTAGCCATCTTTGCTTCATCAAAAATATATCAGTTATTTAATGTTTCCTTTGCTACATAATTCTATTTATCGTGCCTCATATATTTGATGTCTTTTGTGTGGTTATAAAATGATAGTGTGTTCAAACTGTTCACTAGTACTGTATATGCATTACCCATAGCCTGTAGTGTAGTAGTAGTAGTAGTAGTTGTAGTAGCTTAGTTGTAGCTGTAGTAGTATTTAGCCGTAGCTCAGTAGGTGTTATCAGTCCTAAAGAAAAGTTCTCATCAGGTATATTTTTGTTGTCTTGCATCATGGTTTTTGACGCAATGTTGAGGTAAAATTAGAGAGAAAGTGGAAGTAACTTTGACCCTGAATGTTTGAGAAATGATCAGTAAAACCACAAAGAGCAGAAGAGGACAGGGGTGCAAAAGACGTCAGCCTCGTGTGAGTTTAAGTATTTTTGATGTGCTTGGTTCTGCTTTTACAAAGTTGGACTCACACTTCTGTTTGCGGCCACAAACCACAGCACGCAAAACTAGAGACACTCACGCTATGTATGAGTTTTATTTAACTGATACTTTGACATCGCAAACATTAACAAACACTGACAAAAAGTTTTAAGATTACCTGAAAAAAAAAAAATAAAATGGAAACAGTGTATTAACATAAGGGTGAGTTGTTGTACAGTTGTAGGGAGAATTATCTGTTACATAAGGGTGAGTTGTTGTACAGTTGTAGGGAGTATTATCTGTTACATAAGGGTGAGTTGTTGTACAGTTGTAGGGAGTATTATCTGTTACATAAGGGTGAGTTGTTGTACAGTTGTAGGGAGTATTATCTGTTACATAAGGGTGAGTTGTTGTACAGTTGTAGGGAGTATTATCTGTTACATAAGGGTGAGTTGTTGTACAGTTGTAGGGAGTATTATCTGTTACATAAGGGTGAGTTTTGTTGTACAGTTGTAGGGAGTATTATCTGTTACATAAGGGTGAGTTGTTGTACAGTTGTAGGGAGTATTATCTGTTACATAAGGGTGAGTTGTTGTACAGTTGTAGGGAGTATTATCTGTTACATAAAGGTGAGTTGTTGTACAGTTGTAGGGAGTATTATCTGTTACATAAGGGTGAGTTGTTGTACAGTTGTAGGGAGTATTATCTGTTACATAAGGGTGAGTTGTTGAACAGTTGTAGGGGAGTATTATCTGTTACATAAGGGTGAGTTGTTGTACAGTTGTAGGGAGTATTATCTGTTACATAAAGGTGAGTTTGTTGTACAGTTGTAGGGAGTATTATCTGTTACATAAGGTGAGTTGTTGTATAGTTGTACGGAGTATTATCAGTTGCATAAGGGTGAGTTGTTGTACAGTTGTAGGGAGTATTATCTGTTACATAAGTGTGAGTTGTTGTACAGTTGTAGGGAGTATTATTATCTGTTACATAAGGGTGAGTTGTTGTACAGTTGTAGGGAGTATTATCTGTTACATAAGGGTGAGTTGTTGTACAGTTGTAGGGAGTATTATCTGTTACATAAGGGTGAGTTGTTTGTACAGTTGTAGGGAGTATTATCTGTTACATAAGGGTGAGTTGTTGTACAGTTGTAGGGAGTATTATCTGTTACATAAGGGTGAGTTGTTGTACAGTTGTAGGGAGTATTATCTGTTACATAAGGGTGAGTTGTTGTACAGTTGTAGGGAGTATTATCTGTTTACATAAAGGTGAGTTGTTGTACAGTTGTAGGGAGTATTATCTGTTACATAAGGTGAGTTGTTGTACAGTTGTAGGGAGTATTATCTGTTTACATAAGGTGAGTTGTTGTACAGTTGTAGGGAGTATTATCTGTTTACATAAAGGTGAGTTGTTGTACAGTTGTAGGGAGTATTATCTGTTACATAAGGTGAGTTGTTGTACAGTTGTAGGGAGTATTATCTGTTACATAAGGTGAGTTGTTGTACAGTTGTAGGGAGTATTATCTGTTACATAAAGGGTGAGTTGTTGTACAGTTGTAGGGAGTATTATCTGTTACATAAGGGTGAGTTGTTGTACAGTTGTAGGGAGTATTATCTGTTACATAAGGGTGAGTTTGTTGTACAGTTGTAGGGAGTATTATCTGTTACATAAGGGTGAGTTGTTGTACAGTTGTAGGGAGTATTATCTGTTACATAAAGGTGAGTTGTTGTACAGTTGTAGGGAGTATTATCTGTTACATAAGGGTGAGTTGTTGTACAGTTGTAGGAGTATTATCTGTTACATAAGGGTGAGTTGTTGTACAGTTGTAGGGAGTATTATCTGTTACATAAGGTGAGTTGTTGTACAGTTGTAGGGAGTATTATCTGTTCCATAAGGGTGAGTTGTTGTACAGTTGTAGGGAGTATTATCTGTTCCATAAGGGTGAGTTGTTGTACAGTTGTAGGGAGTATTATCTGTTACATAAGTACAGTTGTAGAGATGTATAGTATAAAATAGTACTTTTGTCTGCATATAGTTGTAACCTATGAGATCTGTGAGGTCATTGTGTTTTCATTTGGACATTTTACAGCTACAGTATGCAACTTTTTAGCGTAAAAAGTAAAAAAAAAATTAAAAATCATTGTGTTTTTTATTTCACTAAAAACATGCATCTTTACTGTGAGTGTGCCCACATCTCTTAATCTTTCTTGAGTCATTTCTCGGATCACTACTAATAGACTCTATTCACACTTACATTACAATCCAGGAAGAAGTATGGAAACATGTGACCACAACTTTCTGGTTTGTGACATAAGTGTGAATAGAGCCTATTATTCTTTAGTAAAATATGAATGAATAAATAATAAGATATTTGTTCCATTTATGTCATTAACTGTCAGTATTGGGAAGGTGACTTTTAAAATGTATTCCCCTACAGATTACAGATTACATACCCCAAAATGTAGTTTGTAACGTAATCCATTAAAGTACTTAAAGTGAGTAATGTAATCTGAATACTTTGGATTACTTGATTTGCTGTAGAGAAGCAAAGACGAGGATATTGTAACATGAGATGTTTTGTCTGATAAAAGAAAATAAAAAGCCCAGACTTTACTGAACCAAATTAAAAAGTATTATTGATTGAAGAGGAGGAGACACGTCCACACAGCAGGATTTAGTCCTGTTTTAGTCCTGTTTTAGTTTTGGTTTAGTTCTGGTTTAGTCCTGTGTTAGTCCTGGTTTAGTCTTGGTTTAGTCCTGGTTTAGTCTTGGTTTAATTTTGATTTAGTCCTGGTTTAGTCTTGGTTTAGTCCTGGTTTAGTCTTGGTTTAGTCTTGGTTTAGTTTTGGTTTAGTCCTGGTTTAGTCTTGGTTTAGTCCTGGTTTAGTTTAGTCTTGGTTTAGTTGGTTTAGTCTTGGTTTAGTTTTGGTTTAGTTTTGGTTTGTTTTCCTGGTTTAGTCCTGGTTTAGTCCTGGTTTAGACCTGGTTTAGTGCTGGTTTAGTTCTGGTTTAGACCTGGTTTAGTCCTGGTTTAGTTCTGGTTTAGACCTCGTTTTAGTCCTGGTTTAGACCTGGTTTAGTGTCCAGCAATAAGTGGAATTACAGAGAGAGAGAGAAAAAAAAGGGATATAGCCCAAAATGTGAAAACAGGAAAATACTTCTGTGTAATCCATTTATTTCAACAAAGTAACTGTAATCCAATTACCACTCACTGAAACAGTTACTGTAACTGAATACAGTTACTCATAATTTGTACTTTGATTACGTAACTCTGGTACATGTAATCTGTTACTCCCCAACACTGTTAACTGTACGATGACCACTTGTGTTCAAAACCATATGTAAAAATTGTAATCTTTCCTCCCGGACACAAGGGGCACTACAAACAACAACCCGACCTCACTGTCGCGCAGAAGAAGACATTGACCAATGACAAGCCGCTACGTCACTCTTTCCTGCAGTAATGGCGACGTCCTGTTAGCGCTGCGCTGCCTCATCTGTTCACTTCTGTTATCATCTGTTTTCCAGCGATCGGACCAAGTAAGTGCGCTTTTCTCTCTGTTTCATGTCTCATACGCGTGTCTTTATCCCAGTGAGCGAAGGGACGGACTGATCGGCCCCGTTGAAGCCCGCACGCACCGCGAATGTGTCCGACAGGAGCTGACGCGGATCTTCCTCATTTCATTCATAGAGCTTCTTAAAACTGGCTCAAAATCCACGTCAAGTTATCATAAAGTTCGCAAAATAACGTGTTGCTTTTGTAAATATAATAAACAAATGTATTTATTTGAGATATAAAATCGTGCTGCATGATTGTGTAAACATACAGCCATGTTTTAGCCTCAATCAGGACTGAGCTAAACAAAAAGTAACCTGCATGCCTAAGGTGATCAAACGTATGTATTTACTGGGGACAGTCCCAGTGTTGAGTCCGGTGTCCCTTGTCCCAGCAGGTTTATACAAAAGCAGTGATTTGTCCCAGTTTTATACAAGAAATATCCCAGGTGTCTCTATTTTTAACCAATTTGATCCTGCCAACATTAAAGAGAGACATAAACTGTCATTTGTTTTGGTAAAATACAGAAAAGCTGCTTAAAAAATGACCAAAACACAAAGAAACTGTGACTATAAAAATAACAAAATTGAAGCGCTACACTGGATCAAAACACTCTCACATACAGGTGCTCATCAAACCGGAGGGATTAGATTCTTGTAAAGTAGAAAAAAGGATGGCAGAGGCTCTGATTTGCGGTGAATTTATTAATAGTCATGCCAACGCCTTTCGACTACTTAGTCTTCATCAGGTCTGATTGAGTAAGCAATAGGGGTGTGCAAAAATATTGAAGTATCGATATATGGTATCGCTTACTCTGATGATACAATATCGATATCGTGGACTGCTGTATCGAGATATTGCTGAGAGTACTTTTAGGTATATTTTACTAAATTATTTTGTGTAAGAGCTACGATTGTGTTGAGATTTTCGCTGTTTTGAGTAAAATGGGTGTTTTTCATATTAACTTTGCACAAATGTAGTTGACTTATTGGACTTTTAGTTTCACAGCCATGATTTAGCCTTTGTTTTTCATTGAACCATATCGAATCGATTTGAAATATATCGTGTCGAATCATATTGAACCAAAAGTGCACTGTATCGAAAAGCGTATCGTATTATGGCCTATGTATCAAGATATGTATCGTATCGGCAACTTCTTAACGATACCCAGCTCTAGTAAGCAACAGGTGTGACCATTTATTGTGGTCATGACCCCAGACACGTGATAGTTAAAAAACACAAAATCTCCCAAAACATTTGCATGTTGAATCCAAGTATATTGACAACAAACCATTCATAACACAACAGATAAATCACACTGTTCTGTATAGGTTGGAGTATAGTCAACAATACATAATCCCTTAGATTACACAGCACACTACAAAAATTATTTTCAATTGATCATCAAGAAGGAGAAAGCACCAGTAATTTCATAACAAAGGTAATGAGAAATACCTGGGTATTTGGTGGCCAATTGTCAATATGTTATTTGTAGCATTGCTGGGACAGACTAGGGAAGTGCAGAACAAATATTGGTGTAATAACGGCTTAATTGTCAATATCGGGCCTATGCTGATTACGGATGCACCGATCCAATACTGGTATCTGATATTGGGGTCGATACCGAAAATTTGCTGGATTGAATAATGACTTCTAAATATAATTTCTGCCGATATCTTGGTTGGACATAGAAATTGTTGGTTACAGTCAAATTTGATTCAGAAAGTCTCATAGTGTTTGAACTTTAGTAGTGTTGTGAACTGTAGCTACCTTAGAGCAGCCAGATGACACATTTGGATCAGTTCAGCCTTATTTTGTTTTAATTCAAAGGAAATAAATGCTGTTTCAGTCTCTGCTCTGGTAATGGTTTATTGGGTATTGGCAGATCCTTAAAGCTATAACATCAGAATATTTGGGGAAATGATCTGATATCACAGACACCCGATAGATCTATCATATTTTTGCAGATGGAGGGCAGGGCTTGTAAGACTCATTGGGTAAAGCTTCAGGAGTATACACAACAAAAATCCACAAATGTTGGACCTGATTATTATTTGTCTGTGAACACAAACTTCCCATATTACAGTCCCTGACAAAAGTCTTGTCGCTTATCCATTTTGTAGAAACAAAAGCTTATAACCTGACTTTAAATTAATCGACTGGTTTTAGAAATGTCTCATATGAAAGCTAAAACCCTCCCAAATTATGCTCAATATACTAAAATAAAATTTGCTTTGGAGGGTTTTAGCTTTCATATGAGACATTTCTAAAACCAATTGATTAATTTAAAGTCAGGTTATAAGCTTTTGTTTCTACAAAATGGATAAGCGACAAGACTTTTGTCAGGGACTGTATATCACAGACTTTTCAACAGACTTAATTTGTACCCTGTGACTGAATAATGCTACTTCTTGCCTCAACAGTGAAATACGTTGAACTCTTTCGTTACTGGGCCTATCTTCATGAAACTTAACCTGACACAGAGATATGAACCATAAACCATGTGGTGTGTTTTTTAATATCCTGTTTGTTCATTTTGTTTGGTTTTGTTTCTGCAGCATGGCTTCTCGAGCAGGGCCCAGAGCGTCGGGGACAGACGGCAGTGACTTCGAGCACCGTGAGCGCGTCGCCTCTCATTATCAGATGAGGTATATACTTCTTTATATAAAAGATTATGTTTAGGGATCTGTATTTACAAGGGTTGTCACTCAAAAGTATAATATGCAGATGTCTAGGGCTGTATGATTTTGAAAAAAAAAGAGAGATTCAAGTTTTGAGATTGCAATATATGTTAAAAAGTAGTATTCTGCTCAGACTTCAGAGTAGACTTAGACATAGACAAACTTTATTGATCCACAAGGGAAATAATTTGGACACAGGAGCTCACACATCACAATATAATGTAATATAATATAATGTAATAATATAATAACAAAGAGTAAAAATATAAATGGAATACAGTAATACATTCTAAATAAGCAGCAAAAAAGAGCAAGAGACAGGTGTGAAATAAGACAGTTATTATTAGGTATTAAATGTAAATGTACAAGTCAAAGTAGAATTGAAAAATAAGTAATAAAATATCAAATCTCAGTTTTATACAAAAGAATACATTGTAAACAACTCCAAGAGCATTCACAGCATTTGAGAACTGATAAAGCAGTACAAGAATTTCATATTTGCAGATAACATTCTATTATCTAAAGAACTGCAGCATTTGCAATTTAATAATTGTACTGACTTAAATTGCAATTTCAGTTGTGTAGCCGTACCAGATACTAATTCAATACTGAAACTAATCTCTAAACTAGGGCTGAACAATTTGTGAAAAATACCTCAACAGTGATAATAAAAACACTCTTTATTTAGACAGTAGACAATATTTTCAACATCGTCAACATCGTAGTACTTTCTTTTCTATTTCCATGTGTCTTATATGTGTGTAATCCTTCAGTGGTGCAGTAGGTTCATAGTGTCCATGTGTGTTTACTAGTCTATGTGCTCCTCTACTTGTTCTGATACAGCTCAACATCATTCTAAAGACATTCAGGAAAGATTAATTTCTGTCCTGTAAATGTGACTTTTTTTTTTTAGTATCAATACCCGCTCAAATGATTATCTAGTTTTAGTATCAATTGGTATCTGATACTTTTGGCAACCCCAGTGGAGACAGCTGAAATAATGTAAATAAAATCCAAATTGGCCTTACTCTTTATGTTTTTACCCTGATGCTTATGTGATTTCTACAGCGTGGCTCTGAAGTCTGAAATCCGAAAGCTCAACATCGTCCATGTGCTCCTCTGGGTTCTGATGGCCGCTCAGGTAAGCAGCCGTGTGCTTTTGAACAGTGCAACCACGCTTCATTTTACTGTAGACAGAAATAACAGTGTTAATCATGTTTATGAATCATTTATACTGACAGAGAAAACTTTGAACTTTGTGCCAATTTTTGCTTCATGTGGATAGGCCCAGTAACTGCAGAGATATGAACCAGAAACCAGGTCAAACCATCTGCATTTTGACTTAAACATTAAACACCCTCCAGAAGCTTCACTCCGCCCATAAGAAAAGTGTGAAAAACCCTCCAGATGGGTGGGCAGTGCCTGGCAGGTTGGGGGCAGCAGGTATGGGGTGGGCTCTAGAGGGATGATTTACAGCCGACCGACAACCACAACGGCACGGACCTGTACGCTCCAGACTTTGAAACAGAGCGGACATTTGTGCTCAGATCACACCGTTTCCCTTTTCTCCAGACACGGCAGGACATTGCGGTGTTGCGCTTGTCACATAATACCCTCCTTCTGACTCATCAGCGCTGTTAGTCCAACCCGAAAATTCAGATGAATAAAGATAAGAACTAAGAAAAAAAGTGATTGTATTTTTGTTAGAGGGGTTAGTTTATGGAACAACCTGAGGGATGATTTTGAAAAGTCAATGTAACACTAGAAACATTTAAGAAAGAATATAAAGATATAGAGCTCTGGAATCAATGAATTCTGCCAGAGGTGGGACCAAGTCATTGTTTTGCAAGTCTCAAGTAAGTCTCAAGTCCGTGACCTCAAGTCCGAGTCAAGTCCCAAGTAAAATACAGGAGAGTCCAAGTCAAGTTCCAAGTCACCAGCCAGTAAGTCCAAGTCAAGTCCAAGTCTTCTGCTTTGAGCTTCAAGTCATTTCAAGTCTGTAAACAAAAAAAGTACCAAATATACTTTAGCTTAGATTTTTGCAGTTTATATGACTTTTAAGCTAAATTGTACTTAAAAAGTCATGGTATATTTATATATGAGTATTTATATAAAAGTTGTAGAAATGTGATTTTTTTTTCCTTTGTAAATGTCTTGACAAGAAGAGACTGAATCATTACAGTCAAAATAGAAAGAATTCAGATTTTAAAATGGAGGTATTTTATCATGTGTCTGCACTGAAATGGAAGGATCATGTTCTGTGTAGTTCACTCTGTTTTACTGTATTGACCTGTATATTACTGTACTGTGCTGTATATTACTGTAGTACATTTGAGGATACTATCACAGTACTTCAATCCATCCAAAGTACCAAACGAAAGTGGGAGCAACAGTTTGTTCCTGTAAAATACAGCACCACATTTATCAACTGAAAAAAGAAAAGTATTTTCTTAAAACATTTTTTTTTTTTTTTTTAGCAGAGGCATCGAGTCTTCTCAAGTCACAGGCCTAAAGTCCAAGTCAAGTCCCAACCACCATTATCAAGTCAAGTCCTAAAAATTGTGACTCAAGTCTGACTTGAGTCCAAGTCACAACTTGCAAGTCCCAACCTCTGAATTACAAATTCAGTTTAGTTTGTTTTAATTTATATTTTGTCTCATATTTACAGTAAGTCATAAGTGAAACTGTAAATTCAAACTTACCGTTCATACATTTTCTTTCTTGGAATTCTGTCATTGTTTAATAGGGTTTGGCATTAGAAGTACTTTTTACTTCAGCCTAAACCCTTTCAGTCATGATCCATGAGGTTGTTAGTCTATGTTTTGTTTTGTTTTGTTTTGTAGTGCTGCAAAATGACAGAATAAACTACTTAAAAATAATGAAAAAGTGTCTGGTAGTGTGGTCACGTGTCCCTCTCTTCGTCTCCAGGTCACCGTGTCCCAGCTGGGCCTGGTCTCGCACAAAGTGGTGGCGTCGCCGTACCAGTGGGAGTACCCGTACCTCCTGAGCCTGGTGCCCACCGTCTTCAGCTTCATGGCGCTGCCCCGGAACAACATCAGCTACCTGGTGGTGTCCATGATCAGCGCGGGCCTGTTCTGCGTGGCCCCCCTCCTCTACGGGTCCATGGAGATGTTCCCCGTGGCGCAGCAGCTGTACCGGCACGGGAAGGCCTACCGCTTCATCTTCGGCTTCTCGGCGGTGTCCGTCATGTACCTCGTCATCGTCATCGCGGTACAAGTGCACGGCTGGCAGATCTACTACAGTAAGAAGCTGCTGGACCAGTGGTTCACCAGTACTCAGGACAAAAAGAGGAAATAGAGTGGCGTTTGAGATGCTGGAATGTTTAAAGGGCCCATATTACGCTGTTTTCTTATCTATGTTATAATGTAGTTTCTTCATCATAAACATTCCTGGAGTTGTGTTTTGTTTCATTCACTCATGTTTAACACTTAAATCTGTATATTTAGGCTTAGGCACTCCTCATGATGTCATTAAATTGTAATACAGGAAGTGCTCCACTGTGTTTTTTAAAGCAGACCTCTTATGCTAAATGAACTTTTCAGAGATTTTAACCATGTTATATTTGTTTCCCCTTCACTACAAATTTCTATGATCTGGCCAAGATTTTAAAACTTAAATCTGAAAACAAGATGAATAAACCGATATATTATCTACTTACTAGTTCTGAGACTGTTTCATTCTAGTCTAGAGATCCCGTCAGATCTCAGAAGTTCAGCAGGGCTGGTTAGTACTTGAATGGGAGACCACTGGGAAAATCCGGTGCCACAGGGGGGCGCCAGTTGTGAAAACTGTTGTTGTGTCCTTAAACAAGGCACTTTACCCACATTGCCTAGAATAAAAGTGGTGTGTGGGGGAGTGTTGGTGGTGGTCGGGCCGATGGCACAAATCGGCAGCTTCACTTTTGTGAATATGCCCCAGGGCAGCTGTGGCTACAATAGTATCTTACCACCTCAGAGTGTGGAGTGAATGAAGAATAAACTGTAAAGAGTCTTAGAGTGTCCAGAAAAGCACTGTAAAAACTGATGCATAATTAATATTATGAATATTATTATTAGAAGTTGTTTATTTTAAGAGAACTTGTCAAGTAACAGGGTCTTGCTGCATGGACAGATAATTTCACTACTTTTAAGTCATTTTCTGATAAATTTAAGTGTTTATATCTTAAATTTTGGCCAAGCTTTTTTTTTTGCAGTGTTCTGAAGTATATTCAGTTCATGTGGGTTTGAGTGGTCTTCAAGACGCCATCTTGCTGATCAACACCTGCTTTCACCGTCACTGTCATACAGCCACTGCTCTGTATTTATTTCGTTATCCAGTTTAATTGTCTTCATCAGTGATACACGCAGGATTTGGCAGTATTGCATAGTCACTTTGATGCGCAACAAAAATCACTCCTCTTTGAGATGACATTTGTAGAGCAATACTGCTCTGGATTAATTCATTAATGAAACAAGTGTGAATGAAGCAAAAATACAAGTCCAGGTCTGTTTTTTCACATATAACATGGTTACATTTTTGCATAATATGTGTTCTTAAAGGTGGACTATGGAACTTTTCTAATGGAGAGTCT